TATATAGACTATGTACGATGAATGAAGGTTGGCAATAAATAAATGTATCTGTCTAAAGCAGAGTGTTCTTTTTCGATTTTAAAAAAAGAATATTCGTTCGCTATCCGGTTATTTACATGGCGGCCATGCGCATAAATAATTTTTTTTCTGTTTATGTCATTCCCCTGAACTAAGGTAATAACCGTCGAGTCATTTCTTTCTCTTTCTTCTAGAAACTGGAAGACAAAGTAATAAGTGGTCGTCTGCAACTATTTTTTATTTAATTAATTTTCATATGCTTTTTCTGGCAGAGAAATTTTTGCCAGAAACTGCATGAAAGGCATGAATTTAATAGTATAGGGTTGCCCTGTACACAAGAGTCCAAATATCAGAACAAAAACAACCAAAAAAAATTGCTTGACAATGTGTCATAAACACAGAAAAAAACTCTTGGTCTATTTCTTGATTTACACGTAAAAGGGAAAAGGAGACCATATAATTTGTGTTTTATACAATTTAATCTACTGTACATAAATGATTTTGTGTAATTTCACTTCTTTTATTTAATAGCTCTTGCTTTCTATGCCAAGAGTCCAGCAGCATTTCATGCTGTTCGAGACCTAGGCATCCTGCAAGTACCATGCACCAAATATCTTGAACGTATCATTAGCAAAATTGCTGATGGGCCTGGGATCCACGAAGACTACATTGCTCATCAAAGGCAAGAATATGAAAATTTCACCAAAATACAGGTTGATACAGGAAAGAAAAGACCATTGGGCATTGGTGTCCTGGTTTTTGATGAGACAAAGGCTAGTAAAAGCAACCATAATAAAGTCTTAATATAAGTATAAATAAATTAATATAGCTGCTGGTTCATGTATTTCTGGGTCTTTTTCTTTTGTTTTTTTCTTATAATTATATCAGGCTCTATTTAAAGAAAAATTTTATACATTAGAAAATCTTTACACTTGTAAAGTTCAGGTACGTAAGTTCGTAAAATTAAAACTATGATATTCTGGATGTCCAAATTGACAAAAGTTAAACACAGGACAGAACCAAAAATTAAATCATTGCTTTAGTGCAATCATCTTTAGTACAAGCAATTTAACAGTTACTTCAATTAGAAGCAATGTTGCAATAATTAATTTAGTTGATTTTACCTGGAAGCATTTACTTTACTTGAAACACAGGTGCAGTCAAAGATTGTTTGGAATTCAATGAATGGGACCATTAGGGGCTATGGTATGAGTTCAGAGGAATTGCCTTGGCTACATGATGTGTATATGAGCGTTGGAGGGGATTACGATCAACAGAAAACCTCATATATCCTTCAATTTTTGCTGAGAGATTTAACGTCAAAGTTTCATGTTATTGGTCCTTATTTCACTTGTGCGAACTCATGGGACCACAAATTTCTTCTTGAATGTGTTATGAGGACAATCCAGGCCTTCACATTGTATGATTTCCATGTATGCATACTGGTGTGTGATGGAGCATCATCAAATCTTGCCCTGATCAAACTTCTTTGTGGCTACAAACATGAGCAACTCCCCCTTGCAGATGGTGATGACCCATTTTCTGTGTCAGCAGTCTTTGATAATCCATATGAAGACAGCAAAGATAAGAGAGTGTTTGCTGTCATTTGCCCATCACACCAGGTTTATAACATTGAATCTTAATATTGAGATAGTTTTTCAATTTTGTTATATTATTGATTGAATGAATAAGAGACAATCATTAGTTTTGGGAAAGGCCCTATGTTATTGAAATACCAACGGTTGAATTTCATCGCCTCCAGTCCCCTGTGTGAATCTTTCTCAGATTTACTTAAAGAGTGACTACTTGGTAAAAATGTGTCATGCTACAGAGTGATGCAATCTCATTGAAAGAAAATGATCTGTATACAAATGTTTACATATTTGCACCATGACTCCTTTATTACCTAATTTGATTAAAATGATGTAGTTTGATGTATGAAAAATGTTAAAAATAGTTTATTAAAAATCCTTTTTTTAATAAACTATTTCAGCTTAAAAGCAACATTGCTGCATTGCACAGTTCTAGACCAAGTGGTTCAAAATCATTCCGAAAGGATGGTATTGATTTTGGTTGGCTTTCCATCATACATCAATATGAATGTGACCAGGAAAGAGTTCACCAGAACTTAGGAAGACGAGTGCCAGGGCTTAGGTATAGCTTTGTTCACCGAGATAGCTGGACTCGTTTGAATGTACTTCCTGCAAAAATTATGCAAGTATGTATTTAGTCTACCTGTTTTTTTCTCAATTATTGAATTTAAATACAATATAAATACACTCAGTACATGCTAGTTTAGTATGCTTATATTAAGTCAGGACCAAGTGACAAAATTAAGAAATCCTCTCCACCAATGCTTTAAGAAGTGTATTGACAACAGCCTTTTTCTTTTGTTTGTGCATATCAGGTGAAAGGGTTCAAAAAAATAAGTGTATGTATCAATAAGTTAGCATCCACTCTTTTCTGAGCAATGTGTCTAAGTATCTGTCTATTGCCATTCCTGCAGCAACGATACATGATCAGTGCTCTACAAGAACATGCGAAGATAGACCCACCCCCTGCTGATGCATTGGAGATTGAGATGACTGGCAACTACTTGGAGGCTTGCCATCTCATTTTCAAGAAAGGGATACTGAGTCATATGACTGTTACCACGAGATACCAACGTGCTGTGCAGAATATTGAGAAAGGCTTCCAGTTCTTCAAAGAATGGCATACATGTCATCAAAACACTGGTGAGGAAAGTGGCTAATTGGCTAATAAGTTAGTGTTATAGATATTGTTAGTGTTTAAATACTAACAAGTGTTGGGACTGTGTAATTAAAGTGGTTGCAGAATATTTTTCTGTTTTTGGACCATAAAATACTTTTATTTCGTTGCTATGAAGTTAATAATGTCCCTCAATTGCTCACTTTAGTTTGAAGATAAATGCATCTCCCTTGTACCACTCGATCTGTAGGGCAAGCATATTTACTTTACATGTGTTACAGGTTAAATTTGATTTCAGGTTAAATTATTTTAATGTTATGGTTGATTATCCATTTACTTTGTCTCCTACCCCTAATTATTCATGAATTACAGCTGTAGGGCTAGGAAACAAAGGAAATTGAGAGTCAATAGGTTAAATCAAAATTACCTATCCGAAAATCAAATTTTATCTGTAACATATGCACTATAAACATTTATTCAAGCACACTTTTTGCCTGCAGAGTATCCAGACAACAGCAAGAAAGTTAGACAAAGAAAGTTCTTGGCATGGCAGGTACAATGTCTAATTATTGTTATTATCTTTATTTTAATTGACTTAAGTGTTTAAGTGAAAGTGATTATGCATGCACAAATACCAAATCATTTAGTTGACCAGGCAATAGTAAAAAAGTGATAATATTTATGGTTTCTGGTGTGAAAATGATTTCTTTCTGATAGAATTATAATTTACACAGAAGTGACAGATAAAATGTTGTTTTCCTTGTCAGACATGGGACCTGTTAAGGCTGATGGTTTATGGCTTCCTGGAGTTCTGCAGGTGGTTTAATACAGAATATCCAGACTATTTTGTCAGCCCCCTGCGAATAAATGGCAGCTCCATCGAGTCTGTATTTAGTGTGCTCAAATTTGCTGCTGGCGGTAACCTCTCTGCCAGCAATTATGGTTCATTCAGAGGAAGAATCATAGTTGGAAGAGAAGTTATTGCCAACAGCAACTCTGAGCATGGTTACAGGGATGATGTAATCCTTGTATCAGGGTCACTCATAAGTACAAGTGGTAATTCTGGATCAAGATCATCTTACTCAGTTCGTCTGGTGTACGATCCTTTGGGCATCACTGGTTCAAAGCAGTTTTCCCTTTCTGCTAACCTTAGCCAGTCAACCGTTGGTGGCCGTCAAGGAAGTAATGCATGTACCCTTATTGCTTCGCTGTTTGGCTTTCAGTTTGGCAAACATGGTCTGCCAGAGTTAACTGCAAGCACCCTACCAAGTCAGTGGTTTGAAGTACTGGCTCAGGCAATGTTCGAAGGAAATGCTCTGCATGATCTGCTGTTTGATGGAGAGGCTAGAAATCTTGACATAGAAGATGCTGTGGAGAGCTGTGGAGATGATATTCATATTTCAAGTTATGATCAAGCCATTGGGTTTGATTAGCTATCAGGAGATATTTCACCTCTGATCACCACTTTGCAAGCAAGGGCAAGCCGGCAACAGAAGCAAGTGGCTGTTATGATCTCTAGCCTCCGCACTGTGGCAGTTATAATTTGGGAGAAGAAGCCATTGCAAGTGTAGATTCCCATTCCCATGGCCAGCGTGGAGCCATGGTAGGCTATGTACCCCATGGACAGGGTAGCTGTCGTGATATTGTAAATTGGTACTCATGGGTGATGCAAAAATTCTTCAATGAAAATCTAGGCTTGTGCACTCTTACATTTGTTTCTTATGATTGCACATAGGCCTTTTCCCATAAAAGTTAATCCAAGTTCTTTGACTTTAGTGAATTGGGATAACAGTACATTAAACTTAACATGTAAGAGTTTTTAAGGGTCATGTATTGCTTGCCCTGCAAGCAATTACATTTTTGCTGTATGACTTGGCTTGCAAAAAGAGAATTTTTTCACAGGTATGCCACAGCTTGTACAGGCAAACTGTAGCCTCTGGTGGCTGGGTAGAATATGACAGGTGTTAAAGGAGGGAATTTTTCAACGTAGATCACACATGCAGATCAGGGGCATCACATAACTGAACTGACTGAAAGAAAATTTAGTTGTACTAGAGATACTTACCTTAAAAACTGAAGTAAAGAGCGTAAATGTTTTTTGGGTTAGAAATTAGAGCCAGGCTTCCCTTATAAGTTTCTTTTCTTTAGCCCTCAAAATTTCTCTAACCTTAAAAATTCTGGTATGTTTTGTCCTGACCTGTGTGATCACTTAACGTCTTAGAGTTCCCTACTTCTTACATGAAAATTGATAGAGTCTACCTTTTTTTTAGTAACACTAAATGTTTTTAGATTGTCTCTCAGTGACTGACCAGCTTCAACAACTTTACCAGATTTGGCCAAGTCCTTCTCAAATTTTCCTCTGAAGAACTCTTTTGTTCTTGTGTTACATAGTTTGTGAAGCATATCGCGGTACATCTTATTAATTACAGAAAAAGGATAAGTTGTAGTTAATGCTCCACATTTTCTTATTGACCATAAGAAAGATTTTAACAATTGCTCATCATTATACACCTTAAAGTGAACTACTTCCAAAAATTGTTTTTGTGCTTGTTTAGTTTCCTCTCATTCACGTATTCTCTGATTGTCAAGTCAGCATCCCTAACAAAGTTAAGAAAATCCTTCTTCACAAAAGTCAAATTACCCTTATCAAGCAGTTTTAGAGCCTAAGAAAGACTGCTTTTGTCAGATTATTTAAGTTTCTTCAAAATATCCAGTTCAAGCTCCATGTCAATCCTGCTTTGCGAAGTGACCTTTCTCTTGCCTTTCTTTGCTGACAGGGTATCTTTTCTTAGTTTAATCATTTGACAGAGAGCTGCCCTTGACATTCTGTACAAAGCAACATCATCCTCTGGTAAAATGCTCTGCTGAACCTGATCTACAGGCTTAGCAAGATTGTACCATTCGGACTGGGCGAAGTCGTAAACAAGAGAGTGCATAATTTCTGTCACGGCCCGAATTGTAGCGGATGAATGTTTAATGGACAAGTCGGTAAACACTAGAGTACATACCTCTGAATTTTTTGATGAACCTTCCAAATAGCTTGTTAAGAGTGTTCATCCAGCGCAATGTCAAATGAAGTTTGCGGTCTTTCTTTGCTTCCTCTGCAACTGCAGATACATGTTCCATGTAAACCGAAAACATGTGATTCACCAGATTTCGCAGCTCGTTGTAGCGAGCCTCGGGTATTTCCTCGATAAGCTGTCGATGGGTTTCCAAATGTTTCATGACTGGTTGTTTACGAAGCTGTTCAGATACGAAATTCCAGCACATGGGACGTTTACCCTCTAGTTTCATTATAACTTCGTCTAGTTCCTTTTTGGTAAGCGTCTGTGTTGCTTTCTTTTTTTGATTCCCGCCGCGATTTGCTTGATACTTTTTAGTGTTTTTGTTTTTGTTGGAATTACTGGTCGTGCTTCACTAGTACCGGGAACGACTTTCTTCTCCCTCGACTATTTTTGCGCGACGATTAATATTCCCCGCTCTCTGTTGGCTTTTCGCTTTAGGTTCTTTCTTCCATCTTTATTTGGTTCCAAAGGTCCTGCACTGAAATCACTGTCGTCGTTGTTATCGTGCGTAGCGCTTGTTGAAGTTGAAAGTTCGCTATCAGGATCGCTGTCCGCGCCGGACCTCAGTTCCTCCTCAAAGTCTGATATTTCATCGAGCGAGTCATTCCACTCCAAGGAAATCGTAGAATCAACCTCCCAATATAGATTATCGGCATCATCTTTTCAGGTAAAACCTTTCCCGTGGATAAGAAAATCGCTCTCATCGATAAATCTCACCTCCACGCGCGACGCCATTTTTTTCTCACATTTTTTTCTTGGATGATGACTCTTGACATCACCGATTAAAGTCTGCGGACCTCTCGGAAAACCAACTTCCGATAAATGCAAGGGTCTAAAGAACTTTAGTGAAATTCACATCTCCCAAGGGTCTGACTGGGCGTTTCCGTCTCTGTCCCAATTATGGCTCTTGGTTTATTTAAAGACAATTTACGTGTACGGGGACAGTATACTAATAAACGGGTTATCCACCGCACAATTCAAACCTCCAATATCGCATCTATACTGCCTCTTTGAAGAAAAATGAAAGTCTCTGACCTCTCTTCCAAATAAATAACGCATGGGGATCAACAGTTTTACTTACCATATCTCGCTTCCACAATTGACGTCACGTACTTGCTGATGGCACTCTACAACATGAGTCCATCATCCCTATAGGGGTAGTCAGGCAGCACTGAAGGATCAGACACCTGTTACAAGGGCAACACACGAATTTTTTGGTGTGAATGACAATCTTGAAAAGAGCTGTACTGAGTAAACGGACAACCACACTATAATAAGTAGGGACCACCAATAACTTTAATGTAATAGTGGATGAATTCTTATATACACGGTCATAATTATTTTACCAGACAAGTGAGACATACCACAAATAGTCGAAGTCTAATGATGGTATTTTTTAAATAATTTGCACGAGCACTCGTCAGAAATCTGACGAGTGATAATTTGTTTCCAGACACGTTTTTTCTTCCGTGAGCGAGGCACAACTATCACTTTGCAGGGATTTAATGCACAAGTCTCTCTGCGTGAACGTACTCCTCTTTGCTCAAGGTCAGCCGGTAGTGTGCCATGCACATCCATTCTCCAATCTTACCAACTGATCATTCAACAGAGAAGGATACATCGGAAAAAAAATATGTGCTGATAAAACTGTAGGAACAGTCCAAGGAACCATAAAATATATTAAAGGTCTGGTCGAAGTCATAAGATAGGCTTTTATTATATAAACACGGATGAAATTCCAGGAGAGCTTTTGCGCGAAAACGGGATTATCTCCCCACGTGAAAATAACATGTTTTATTATCCAACTACACTTCGTAGAATACAAATAACACCATAGACGAGTACAAATATCACGCGGTATTTGTACTCTAGAGTACCGGTTAAACAGGTTTTCTCGCATCGCGCAAGCGAAGAATTGAATTGTAGTTAGGAAAAAAAAAACAAATGGCGGACAATTTGAATCATATTTGCGACGACGAAGAGTCAGAATGGCTGGCAAATATACATCAAAGTTTATTAGATGAATCAAACGAAGAAAAACACCTAATCGACCGGGAAATTTCTTTATTTATTGAAGAAAATAGAAACAGCAACACGACAACGCGCCAATTCCTTTCCGCTTCGCATACTTCTGTCTCGCACTCTCCGTAAATAAATATCTGCGAAATTAGCCCGCGCTGAAATAACAGTTCGGCGTGTTGGATAATAAATAACTTATTAGACGTTTTGTTGTGTGGTATCGCTGAGTATTTTTACTAGTTATTTGTATTTTGACTCGACCTACGGGCTCGTCAAAATACGGCACTGCGATACTACACAATAAAAAGTCTAATAAGATACATATCTTCACGAGTGAAAATAGTGACGCCGTTACAACGATTACATGGTAAATCGCACCTTTCGCAGCAAAAGGGAAACGGTTTACTTTTTCAATGGTGTTTATATGATAAATAAAATATTACATGGCCGCTTGGAGATACGAAATTATTCTTCTCGAGATGAAAAATATTTCACTCGCTTGCTTCGCCCATTCGCGAGATATTTTCAACACTCTGAGAGAAATTTCGTATCTCTGCGCAACCATATCCTCTATTTACGGGTCTTATGAAAAGAGAAAATCCTGGCATTGTGTAAGAATCCCAAAAGCATGGACTGGGACTGATTTAACCATCGTCCTCATTCATATTTCCCTCCAATTTCGCTACGAGACCAACCAGGATCTTGATAAGTCACTGACCATACTCGAAGCAAAGGAGCAGTCAGAAGAAAAATTCAAATCAGTTCTTAGAACTTCTTCCGTTTCCTTTGTATACAAGATCGTCTGATCTGACAGTTCTTGAAAACTGGAGAGACCTGTGAGCTTCTATGATATATAAGCGAGATAGGTCCTTTGGTAACCCCAGCTGGTTAAATTATGCAGGCCTATTAACCAATGAAGAACGTGAGTCACACGGCACCTACCCTAAGGCTAATAGATCCTGGATGCCTTTCGCCCTAAGGGTTGTCCCGCTGTCAATGCAAGAACCCGGGGCGAGCAGTTCCTTTACTTCGAAGCTGCGAGAAGAAAACTGGATGATAGAATTGAGAAATGTTTGGTGTACTGAGAAATCTCCACAGCTGTGCTTGGGCCAGCCGAAGAAGCCAAAAAAAATAGCATAACCAAACTTTTGAACCTAACTGTTTGCTTTTGATAATTTACGACAGAAATGCACAAGGTTTCTCTATTATGCTGATAAATAAATGCATAGAAACTCACTCCGTAGCAAAATGGTAGCGCGTCTTACTCCAGATCAGAAGGCTGCGTGTTCGAGTCAAGGAGGCATGTCTTTAAAGTAAGACCATGACCTACTGGTGACTATCAAACGCGC